TTCACAGTGTACACGAGATTTCTTCAAAAATACTGAACAGATTCGAATGGAATTTTAAATATGAATTTGAAAATACCCAACGGTGATGTTTAGCTCGTGTAAAAATTTTCGATTTTGCCTTCCTTCATGAGTTATATGGCTATACAGAGAAACTATTGACATTTCTGAGGCAGACCCAGTGTTCACGATATATCTCCCAAATTTATGAACGGAACTCAATGGAACTTTACAAACGTATTCATTAGGACTTAACGGAGATGTTTAGCTCTTTAAATTGTTATATGGTTTTTATGCATTTAATACTTATTTCTTTCTTTTCTTATGTAACGCCGCAACGACACATTGAACTTTGTCTCATATCTGTTATCGTTATATGTGTTATCGTTCTGTTTCCTCGGCCCTCGCCCTGTTGGTATTCGTTTAACCGCGATTCATTTGAAACTCTTTATACTAGTACGATGGCCGTTGCAAAGGCCTGACTCTGAAATATATTTTTTCTCCGCGTCATCACGTCCTAAATGCAAACATAATGGAAGCTTGAAACTCTAGTAAGTTGTAACTAAATTGTTATAATTTGATCAGCGTGTTGGCTAATACTATTTGAAATTACCTAATTTATTCTCTGAGGTCATCACAAGTTGTGTGCAATGAGCCTCGCTTCTCAAATGGCAGGATTTAGGCATTGTTGATCGATGAGCAATATTTTTTATTTATTAAAGAGTTACAGCAAGCAGGCCCAAAAATAAGTTAGTTACAATACTGCGTACAACATTGTCATTATTAAGGCAGTTATAAGTAAGCTCATATAAAGTGAAAAAAAAAACACTTTTAATTTATCATTTCAATAAGAAGGTCGAATTAACATTCATAGTAATGGTTCGAGGTCATAGTGTTATGTCATTGCTTTCTAATGCTTGTGTACAGTGAAATAAATATTTAGATGCTGAATCCGGTTGGAATTCTGTTTAAAAAATTTTTCATAATCTGACGGTGGGCGTTGCTTAACGATTCCATGATATGAAATCGGAAAAATCTAATGCTCTCATAGGTGGACAATGTATTTTGCATATACGAGCTAGTAATAACTATACGTTTCTACAGTAACATGATATAAGGAGCTCTTAACAACATAAATATAGACACTCTAATAACCAATGTTGTAGGTTACATCAATTGCATCGTGCTGCATGTTAAAATGATGAATGAAATGATGGTGACAAGAATACAATGACTAAGAAGGTATAGTTGCGCATTGTATAATGTAAAGTTTTGAACAAACATTACTTGCTTTAATTTTGCACTTAAACCTCTGATTATGAGTACATTAATAACGAACAATTAATAGCTATTGAAATAACAGTTTAAATGTTTCTATTTGTCTATGCATTTTAGGGAAAAAATTTCGTCATAATTAAGCAAAGTTTAAGGTCAATTATCAAATATTGAATTTAAGAGATGTGTTTAATTTCTTATTGCCAGGAATCAATTTTTTAATATAATAACAAATATATAATTAATAAAATATAATTTCAAATATAATTTCAATTCCATCAGCTTGTTTAAATATTTGAATGATAAAAAACTTAATGATAGATAATGTTAAGTTGTCTTAGAAATCCATGTTGCTCTTGCGTTTGCAGGCGCCACTCGCCACTGTGGACCACTAATGAGGCATTAAGTTTGGAGGGGTGCTGACTTGAATGAGGAGTTCATCTGAAAATGGAAACACTTGTTAATAATGTTTGATAGTAAAATGTAATTATTACAAATGATGTGCTTATTTAACTCATTACTTGTATTTAACAGAAAATGTGGAGTGATCTAGTTCGAAATTATAATTCCCCCAAACCCCACTGGCTTTTAACAGCCTAAAAATTTCAAGTGTAATAAGGTATTTAAGTTTAGTTAAATAAATTTTGGCCTTAAATTACTTCAAGGGTTATTACGTTTTGTTGGCTATAATTAAATTTATTTTAATTTCAATTTCTCCAAAACTACTGACATTACTGTGATACAATAAACTTAGTTCAAGCAACCTACAATTATATTATTTATGATAATTACAGTAACTTTTTCAAATTAATATGTTTAAGAGAAATTGCTCAGATATCTACTTTAAGTACATGTTCAAGTAAGTATCCCATACAAGATAATAAGTAAACACAAGACATACTTAAAAACGTGAACAATCATTATGCAACATGTCAGCATTACTAAGGATAAGCACATGTTGAATACTTACAATACTGGTAGGTAATGCTTTGCAGAAAATCAGCCTGAGACAACAGCGAAGCAATGTGTAGACGACTTATTTTTGCAACAGGTGACCTGCAAATAAATTAATTATTTAGTAAATAATTAGCAGACTCCTGTGAAACTGCAAGAATATATTTCTTGGAGAGAGCTGTACCTATTTGTTGTTATTTTTGTACTAAAATCAAAGATGGCTGGATATTGCAACTGCATTTCCAAAAAGTGCTTAATCTAGATTCTAGGATATGTATACAGTGTTAAAGAAATGTACTGAATATTTTTCCCTAGATGTCAAATCATTAATATTTGAACTCCTACAAGCAAATGTGGGATGTCAAAGAATGGAAGAAAGAGATTGAAAAGAAAGTGAGAATATGCAGTTCAAGAGAATGGAAGCAAGGACTGGAAAGAAAGGATAGCCTCAAGCTATACAGGATGAAAGAAATGGCATAGTATGAATGCATTTATGATGGTAGCAAAGTTGGGGAGCTAATATTCTGCGAGAGAGCAAATGCCTTAAGTGTGAATGCATAAACACACAGGTGGGATGAAAGAAGAGAAGATATCGTTCAAATGTGCAACAGAGGTGAGAAAGAAATGGTGGAACACCTGATGATGGAGTGTGAAGCGTATGCGAGTGAAAGACTGGAAATGATTGCAGTGATACTGGATGAGAGATGTTAGGGTGATGGCGTGAAGTATGAGAGAATGAGAGATGAATTGATAGCAAATGATAGTGAGCCTGTAACCAGGGGTAACCACTGCCATTACCCATGAGGTATAGTGATAAGCGTTTTTGTAGTTGCATGGAGAATGAGGGACAGGCGGAAGCTGGAGAGTGGAGGCTGGTAGGGTGTAAAGAAACAAGCAATAAAAAGCAAAATAATGGTATTAACAAACATAAAATATAAATAAGAACAAAGTATTATCTAGTGTTTTGAGAGCTAAAAATATTTGTGTGACAAATGTCTAAAACTGACATGCAATAAGTGAGACCTAGAAATAACCAACAAAATAACCTCTTTATATTGAAATATTCTCCCTCTCCCTCCTCTATCATACCCAAAAATTGATTTTAATTTGAATGTGTGGTGCGTGGCAGCTAGCCAATACACAGGCCTGAGGTCGGAAGATCTTTTTAGTGTAACCATGCCTCAAATCAAATCCAGCTTACTACCCAGAACACCTGTCCTTAACAGTTGATTTCAATATTTGTAGTTGCCATTTTCAAATCGACTATTGAGCCCTAGTATTAAAATTATTACTATAAAGACCTATAGCCATTTTGTAATATTGGGCAGAAGTTTCCAAAAATTGTAGGCAAAAATGATTGCTTTACACTCATTTTCTACAAACTGCAGCGTAAATCTCTTTTTTTTTCACTACAGAAATACAGAAAAGGCTGTAGTAACAGCTGAAATTGGCCATATTCTAGGGTGCAGGAATTGAAAAAAGGCCATAGTCACAGCTGAAATTGGACATAGATGCCTGGAGCCGAAATTCCATGAATATCTGAAGATCAGCGGCAAAATTTAGGCATTCAAAAGATCTTGCCTACACATTTAGATTAAAATTCTTGCATTTTAGCTATTCTCAAATCTTCAGCAATGCTAACTGCAAAACAGGAGGTACACCAGTTGCTGCATTGTTTTTAAAATTTCCAGTTTCCAGTTGGTCGGATGAGGCTGCAAAGAACAATCCATAATTAGGTAATTTAAGATGCAATGCAAGTGTTTACTGCAATACCTGGGGTGTTAAAGATGCACTCAACAGAGATGGTTATGTAAGAATTTGGAAGAAAATCATGTTAGCACTGCATCTTGAAGACTGCCAGCACTGGATCTTGGGTGCTGTTGACATCTGACAGGGTGGAATTTTAGGAATGTGGGCTCATATATTCAAAATCAATCCAGCCTATGAGCATGATCAGTTCCAAAATATTAGGTAATTATAGAGTACAATTTAATTCCACATGTTTAGATCCAATATGGTATGCACAAATTTTCATATATTAACCCTTCCAAATTCCACCCTGGTCACTCGGTAAAATTTTTGGTCCGCAAATGCAAATATTGGCAATGCATTCACCAAACTGTGCACCTTAGGACATATTTACAGTTGATTTAGCCAATTTACTGGTGGCTTCTACCCAATTTCAAACTTTGGACCTGTAATCTGTACTCCAATGCCATTTAGAAATATTTGGCAAAATTTACTAAAATTGCAGGTATTACATGGAGGCATTCTAAGTGCCTTTTATTCTAAATGACCATATACAATATGTAATTGAGGAGCACAGTGGCCAAACATAGAAGTGCACTTGCTGCAATGGTAGCGGGACTGCCGCGCATTCCAATAAAAACGACAGTACCTCAGATTTGTTACAAAAAACAAGATTATAATTTTCCTACACGTTTCTGAAATCTCATGGCTCCAGTGTGAGAAAATTTTAATACATTTGGAAAAACGCTGCCCAATCATGCTTTTTTTGTTAACAATTAGATAGGAGCCTTGCAAGGTAATTCATCTGGCAGGAATGTCACGGTTCACGAAATGGCAGGAAAGCTCTAGTCACGGCCCTAGACGGAGATGTTTTCCACGCTTGAATACAAGGAGGCCAGCGAGAGCAGCACAAGCATGCCGGCGGGCAGTGGTAGCAGCAGTGACATGCTAGTCCCACCCCAAAAGGAGAGGGACAACCTGGCCAAGCATATTGGAATGTTCCAGCACCCAAATGGCTTGCATTTCCTTTAGATATAATATAAGTGTCCATGCTTGAGGGATGAAGTGCAACCCACTTTACAAATCACAAGTGAGTAGCACTGGGGTCAGGAGTGCTCCAGTCATCCTGGTGGACCTAAATGACCAACCATTTCGGCAGTTCCTAGAATTCCACCATGGCCGCCGCCATGTAAAACGTAAAAACAATTGAATCACTGCTATTTCACTGGTGAATTAAAAACAATTTTTAGCCAAATGTTTTTCTAATTTTTGGCAAAATACCTAAATTGAAAATAAGTCATATGAATAGGCAGAATTAAGAACAGGTTTACAAGCATTTTTGCCCAATTAATGGTGGCTTTTGCATAATTTTAGACTGGCTCTACAAAGCCTATCATCAAATGATGTTTATAGAGCCTTTGAGTTTCATCATTAGGACAGAAATATGAATTTTATTCAATACCTGAAAATATATCAGGAAATTTAAAGTAAACTTCCAACAGAAAATTCCTTGTTTACCAATATGCTTTCTTCTCAGTTGTGCCTATATGTAATGTAACCTCCCAAGCATTGCTCAATTTAAATTTTAATCCTGGGCTGTGAACTTGTGATGACCTCAGAGAATAAATTAGGTAATTTCAAATAGTATTAGCCAACACGCTTATCAAATTATAACAATGTAGTTACAACTTACTAGAGTTTCAAGCTTCCATTATGTTTGCATTTAGGACGTGATGACGCGGAGAAAAAATATATTTCAGAGTCAGGCCTTTGCAACGGCCATCGTACTAGTATAAAGAGTTTCAAATGAATCGCGGTTAAACGAATACCAACAGGGCGAGGGCCGAGGAAACAGAACGATAACAGGTACAGATATGAGACAAAGTTCAATGTGCCGTTGCGGCGTTACATAAGAAAAGGAAGAAATAAGTATTAAATACTTAGAAACCATATAACAATTTAGAGAGCTAAACATCTCCGTTAAGTCCTAATGAATACGTTTGTAAAGTTCCATTGAGTTCCGTTCATAAATTTGGGAGATATATCGTGAACACTGGGTCTGCCTCAGAAATGTCAATAGTTTCTCTGTATAGCCATATAACTCATGAAGGAAGGCAAAATCGAAAATTTTTACACGAGCTAAACATCACCGTTGGGTATTTTCAAATTCATATTTAAAATTCCATTCGAATCTGTTCAGTATTTTTGAAGAAATCTCGTGTACACTGTGAATTTAAGCACGCTTTGCTATTTAAATGTCAGAAGTTTCCCTGTATTGCCATATAACTCATGAACGAAGGCAAAATCGTAAA